CTACCACTGCCACTACCAATACCACTACCACTGCCACTACCACTATTACGACCACCACTAAGACGACGACGACTATTACTACTACGATGACGACGACGACCACTACTACTACGACGACGACGACTACTACTGCTACTGCCACCGCGTACTACACCACCGCTTGCAGTACCACTGCTGCGACCAGTTGTGATTGCCCACTGGCAATCTGCAAGATGGAGTTCAGTTTGAAGCAAAGTGATACCGCACTACGGCGAGAAATCCGTGAGGTCCAGCAGATGCAGCAGCAGAACACCGACCTTACGGCAAAGGTTGCTAAGCTGGAGCAGGACTCGTGTCACCTCTAGTCATGTGTCTTGCAATGCAAGTGGCAGCAGCAGCAGTAATAATACTAACAACAACAAAAAAAAGGCGGAGGAGGAGAAGTAGCAGTGATCCGAGCCTAGCTTATCTCACAACACGCAAGAAGGCCTAAAGGCCCCTGTCTGAAACCCACATCCTGGAGCCCTTTTCCCCAACAGCGAGAGCTTTGGGTTTTCAGCCGAGGTACATAAGGTCTGGGGGCAAGCTGTGGGGCAGGTTCTGGGGCAGGTTGCGGGTGGGTGGCGGCGCGAGTTCCGATGGGCGGCTTGCGGGCGGACGGCCTCACTTTGAGCCCAAGACGCCCGAAACAAATCGTACTTTCTTAGCACCGTGGCCGTACTTCTCGGCACCGGGGCATCAGTTTGAGCCGAAGAATCCGAAGACGTTGGCAACAAGCCGTTCTTCTTGGCAGTCGAGCCCAAGACGCCGACAACAAACTGTTTCTAAGCAGCGGGGTCTCACTTCGAGCCCAAGACGCAGGCAACAAATCGTACTTTTACTTTTTGGTCCTGGGGCCCGCAGGCAACAAATCGGACTTCTTAGCAGCGAGACTTCACTTTGATCTCAAGATGCCATAGGCCATATTTCTCAGCCTTGGGGGGGGCCCTCTTTGGGCTTAAGATGTCAGCAACAACTCGTATTTCTTGGCACCGGGGCGTCACTTTCAGCCCTCCAGCAAGTCGCAAACAAGTACCAGGGCCGAATACGGCAAATCGTACGTCTTCATACCGGGGTTTCACTCGGAACGCAAGACGCGGGCAATCGCCGGCAACGAATCGCATTTTTTTTGCACCGAGCCCACTTTGAGCACAAGATGCCGGCAGCACCTCCTATTTCTTAGCATCGGGGCCCACTTTGGGCCCAAGATGTCGGCAACAAGTCGTGCTTGGTACTTCGCAGAAGCGGGGCTGCATTTTGAGCAGGCGCTGGCAACAAATCCTACTTCTTAGCACCGGGGCCGCATTCTTGAACCCAATCCCCAGGCACCAAATCATACTTCTTGGTACCCCGGTCTCACTCAAGCCCAAGACGCCCGCAACAAATGGAACGTCTTAGCACCGGGCTCTCGCTTTGAGCCCACTTAGCTGGGCGTCACTTTGAGGCCAACACGCCAGCAACAAATCATACTTCGTAGCACCGGGGCTGCATTTGGAGCCAGCAACACATCTTAGCCGGGGGACCTCACTTTGAGCACAAGACGCCGGCAGTTTCTGGGATGGGTTCCGGCGAATTGGGGCGGGTTGAGGGGCGGGTTTCTTTCAGGCGCGATCGGGGCTGGGTTGCTGGCCGGGTTCCGGGCCGGGTTCTGGAAATTAGCTGGCAGGAATTGATCCAGCCCCAAACTACTAAACCCTGAACCCTAAACCGTATAAACCCTGAACCCTACAGTTCTGGTGTCCATAATGCGACTCCCACCCAGAAGCTTCTCAGTCGAGCTCCGGGAGCTCCGACCAAGGCCAAATGTGCACTTTCCGGCCTGCTACATGCACTCGGCATTGGTTTCAGCAAATCTGGTGTTCGAAAAGAAAAACTCGTAGCCACCTTCCGGAAGCCACGTTGAACTCGAATGCATTTTCCAGCTTCGATCACTTCGCTCGGTGCATGTGTAGATTTTGTTGCCACCATACGAAAAGGCTTTTGAATCATTTCCTGCGGCTTGATAACAGGCCTTAACGCATTCTTCAAAACCTGCAAAACGCAGCTGGGCCTCCTTCAGACAACTCCGATCTCCGATCTGACGTCCGATGACGCTACACCCGAACATGCTTCAATTTAGCTTGCCGGAATCCGACCCAGGCCAAGATGCGTCTTTCGAGGAATGGAAAATGCATTTTAAGCCAGTTTCAGCTCTTCTGAGCTGGTATCCGCAACCGAAGCCACCCATAGTTGAGCTCTCGGGGCAGGGACAAAACATCTGTAGCTCTTTCAGCTTTCCTGGTGCCCAATAACGTGATCCCAACTAAAGCTATTCTGCTGTTGGGATACTGAATTGTTTCCCCTGCCTTGCAAAGTTAGGTTCTTGTTTACATGAGGCAAGGAGTGTCCTTGACTTTACTGAGGTTGGCAAGGAACAGCTGTTTGTTTCCTACCCTAGAGACACATGTAAATGTCGCAGAAGCCGCCGGACTTCTGCGTAGTTGACCGAGCAATCGACGCGAGGACCGGCAGCAGGGCAACGGCGAGCTGCAGTCCTTGCGCGAAGCCTTCCAGAAGCTTCTCGAGGCGCCTTCGGTCCAAGTCGGCGGCAGGTGTAACGAAGGGCATCTGGCGAGGGCTGAGCGGCCCCCCTAACCCTGATCGGAGATTCAGGATTCGCAGTAGAATTGGCCTTACAGCGATCTCGAGCCGGGATGAAAGGGCACAGGACACGAAAGATGGTTGATCGTGCCGAGTATTGTAAAGCACATTGTGAGTAGTAGCAGCAGGAGTAGGTGTAGCAGTAGCTATTCGCCGTCGTCTTCTTCTTCGTCACCCTCCTTGTGCTACTAGTAGTCGTCGTCGTCGCAGTGGTAGTAGCAGCAGAAGCAGGAGGAGGTATGCTTGTAGGAGTAGGAGTATTCAGAGCAGTAGAAGTGGCAGCTGCCTGCAGCAGCAGTAGAAGTAGGAGGAACTGCACTCACAAGGCAACCCATACAAGTGTCAGCAACAGCCTGGGTAAGGCTTTCTAACATGCATACAGATGTACGTCAATAGCAAACTTGAAGGTATTTCATTTCACTGCGCCTGTGATTCTGCGTTGGTCACGCTCGTCGAACATCACCAGAATCATGTCCAATAAAGCAATAATTCTGATGTAACACGTAGCAACACTGGTTGATACCCAGGTAGCAACGGCAGCAGCAGGAGAAGCAGTTGTCTTAGTTATGTTTTGTACAGGCAGGCCGCGATACTATTGTAGTAGTTGTAGTCGTAGAGGTTGTCGGACTCTTCTAGTCGAACGAAGTCTTCATCGCAGCAGTGGTATTAGAGAAGGCCGTAAGCGGCAACACCAACAGACAAGCTCGTAATGCTGAGGCGGAGGGTATGCTTTGTCGAGTGCGCTGCTGCTCGCCCTGTCTTCTGAGGAAGCGGACCAGCAGCAGAAGCGAAAGGAGAAGCTAGACAAGGACCGCTCTAGAAAAGAGAGCGTAACTGGTAAGACCACAGCTTCCATTCGGGTAGCTGCCAAAATCATGGTCCCCTTGAGGAACCCTTTAACTCTACTCTTAATACGGCTCTTGTTACGGCACCCTATAGTTTGAGACCTGAAAAGGGACCCTAGTGTTGACAGTTACCCACTTTGACACCAAGCCTGAACTTGACGATCTCCGCTTCCAAGCCCTGAATCAACGCCTAACCCCGAATGCAGAGCCAAAGGCCTGTGCATACTGCAGCCCCCATCTGAAGCCGCCATCCGAAACGACACAACCTTTTGACCCCGAAGCCTGCGTGCCTCTAAGTTTGGCATGATTTTGGTAAACAGGAGAAATCCCTGGACCCGAACAAGCCAAGGAAGCCGAACACCTCGGCGCCCTAAATCCCTAAGAGCCCTAGAAGGCCCCCCCGAACATGGCCGAAACGGCTAAAACCACCTAGAAGCCTCAGGACCTCAAGGACATGAGACAAGGCTAGGAGCTCAGGTCACGGCAGGGCTTTAGGATATTTAAGTGTAGGGGTTTCGACTTTGGGGTTTCGAGATGTAGGCTTCGGGGCTTCAACCGGTACAAGAGCACAAGACCTTCTTGAAGGCGACCGCTAGCTGCTTGTGGCTCGACTCCCGCTGATGCTCACGAGACCGTCTTGTCTCGGGTTGAGTGCCCCCTATCTGGGTCATAGAACGTAAATGATCCAATATAGAATGTAGAACATAGACATGCCCACTGTACAGTACATTATTAGTATAGAATGTAGCACCAATCGTACATAACATGTAGTTTGTACAGTATAATATATGTACATATATATATATATACATATATATACATATGTATGTATATATATACACACATACACACATAACATGATGAATGTAGACAGGATAATCTATAGCATAGTACATAAGATGCAATATACACGAAATACAATTCTAAATACAAGTATAAACATCAACATAGGTAACACGAGGCGTATACTGTGAAGCTTGCCCAGGTCTTGAGTCCAAACAAAGCGAAGTGAACGCCCGGCGAGAAGAACTTGCCCACGGCGAGGTGCCTCGGGGTCTCTTAGGTTCATTAGGGTTGCCCTGCTGGCTGTTTTTCGCGGTCTCGGCGAGCATTCCTGCTTAGTGCAATCCCTGAGCTCTGCATCGTTCGACTCGCAGGAGAAGCAAAAGCACCTGACGCGACTCCTGCGCGAAGAGCGGCAGGAGGTCCACGTGCTCGCCCGGCTCACCATGCTGTTGCCATCAGTTTCATCCCACAATGGCCAAAGCTCGATGTGTTCGGAAAGGGTTTTTACCAACATCAGAATCATGACCTTGTCGTGATACTTGTCGCAACAAGCCTGGCAGTGCTCATGCCCTAGAACAGGTTCTGCCTCTTTTCTAGCTCATTTGATTCGCATGGTCTTCACATCAGAATGTGTTACTGCAAAGAGACGCCGTGGAAAGCAGCTTCCCTTAGAGGACTCTGATCAGCACGGGCTTGCTGTAGAGGAGCTCATAGCTTGAAATGCGTCGTTAAGGGGCACCTTTATCTGTCGCATAATTCAATTTACATCTGGGTTCGCAAGAAATCGTGGCCGCCCAGTGGATGCACAAACCTGGCCACAGGAAGAGCGGCTAAGCATGCGAGCTGCCCAGCTCAAGGGCAACTATGAGCACCTCGTGAAGCAGCACAAAGAGGCCGCCGGCGTAGGACTTCCTAAACCCTAAACCCCAAACCATGGAGCGCCTAAACCGACAAAGCATCTTCAGCTCAGGGAAAGAAGCCCCTCAAACAGACTAAAGCCTCAAGTTGCATAGAAACTCGAAAGCCTTCCTGGAACTAAATGAATGCCCAAAGCCCCAACGGCCCCTGTGGACAAACTCCAAGCCAAACTCCTACCAGCTCTTCCCAGGAGCAGTCGACGCTAGCCCGTCTCAAGGACGAACAGGCCGAGGGTTTGTTGTGGAGGCGTTTGAACGAAACTGTGGCGATTTTCGGTCCCGCGGTGCTTCAGGGCTTGGGGCTTTTGGGGGCCTCTAGGGTGTTGAGGGGTTGAGGGTGGTTCGGGGTTTGCAGGAGGGTTTCGGGCCATGGTTTCATAGCTTAGGGTAGCGTTACCTGTGCAGCCAAGAGAGCGATTGGCTCTGCGGCTGCCCGCAGAGCCCTCTCTGAATTAAAAGTCTTGTTGGCTGTGTCTCTGAAGCAAAAAAGAGCAAGTCGGATGAGCCCCGATACCTTGTAGCTTCAACTCCAAGGGGACCCGACCTCCTAAGCCCCAAAAAAACCCCCCAAGACCCCTCCCCCCCCGGCGGAAGCCCGAAAGCCGACTCTCCCAGGCAGACTACAAGGCGAAGGTGAAGTTCCGGCAGGCCCTTTTGCCATCAGCCCTTGGTTAGGGTTTAGGGTTTAGGGGTAGGGTGATAAGGGTAACCTTTGTAAGACTACTGTGACAAGGGGCTGGCATAATTTGGAACTGTTGTGTTTTCCGGGTTCAAGAGAGGCCAGGAGCCTTGCTGCGCACTAAACCCAGAAGGCTGCATACCGCCCCCCACCCTGAACCCTCAACCCCCAAAACCCAGAACTCTACTGTAAAGCCCACCCGCCCAACCCCTAAACCCTCAGATCTACAGCCCAAACCCCCTAACCCTAGACCCTAAACCCTAAACACTAAACCCTAAACACTAAACCCTAAACCGCAATGCGGATTTCGCTGAGCTGGATTGGTAAGGCGGAAAAAGGTGCTAAAAAAAACCCTAAACCCTAAACCCGAACAAGAAACCCTGGGCTCCTCTCCTTCGTTCAACCTGCCGGCGCTTCCGGAGGACGAGATCCACGCGCTGAAGACTTCGAAGCAGAAGATGGAGAAGAGTTTGGAGGTCGGGGCCTTCCTTCTTAGGGTTGGGCAGGGGCTGTCTCCAGGTCATTTGTTTTTTTCGGGCTTGCGAGGTTGTTGGGTTTATACATATGGTTTGTAGGTTTGACGTGCGAGTGCATAGGCTGATTGAAGTTGCTCAAAGGCTCAGGGCTTTCCCTGAAGATCCGCCTTCGTCTAAGCCTACGCAGAAAGCTGGACTGAAGCATCCCAAAACATGCAGAAACTCCTCACACACTCGTTTCCGACAAGCGAGGAGTCGTGAATACATGTCGCGCCGAGGCGTTGCAGAGCCTCAAGGACAAAGACGACGCTGAGTCGAGACGTCTGGAGGCGACTCTGCGTGGATTTAAAGGGACTGTAGGAATCGGAATAAGTTCGGGAGTCCATTCTGCGGGCTGCGGCACGAAGTCCTGAGGCCAAGACGACTGACATGCGCGGGCAGGTCAAGAAACTGCAGGAGGACAGATGTCTGTTGGGCAGGTAGGCTTGGGAAGACAGGCTATACAGTCAGCGGCACTGCAACCGTTCTCACGGCAGTCCTCGCCGTGCTAAAGGAAGGCTTTGAGGCGAGAATGTCGTTCATGGGCTGAAGCGTAAGTCAGAGCGCGTAATTCTCAGTGATAGTTTGAGGACTCAGGCTGGGCTGATCCTAGGTAGTATTAGGGAGATTCCTTACAGGGGACCCTTCTGAGCCCTACTTCTGGCTCTCTTAGAAGGGACCTTATTGGAAGGGTCTATATCCCCAACTGTCCCCCTTAATCCTAACTCCCAGCTGGGGCAATGGGGTTTGAGGAATCAGGTCTATGGTCTCTTGATTCTTGATAAACCGATACCACAGAGACACGGTTCTGCCTTTCGGATCGTCATACCTCCGTGCCACTCCATTCAATCTGATATCTCATGTCTTATCAAGGCCAGTGCAGAGCATCGCAGTGCGCAAGTACCTCCAGCCCTTGGTGTCCTGAAGTCAGTTGGAGCGTCTGCCTGCAAGCTTCAGCTTTCGGCAACCGCCAGGACCTGGACAAGCAGAAGCAGGATTCGGAGGCCATGACGTTTTGCACTCTCTATGACGACACTGCTGCTACTGCTGCTCCTCCTCCCACTCGTCCTTCCGATACTGGGCCTCTGCTCGTTCCACGGAGATAGCAGTGATCCGATGAAGGGTGGTTGTGTCACAGAAGTCTCCGTCTTACCACTCTTAATCTGGTTATGGTCACACCGTGTTCCAAGGTTTAGACTAGTTTGTTTTTGTACCTTCTCAGTGTCGTAGTTACCGTTTTGCTCGGGGCTTCGAACTCGAGTTGCTTCAGGGATGTCACCTTATGTTGCAAGGTTCCTGGGATGTCGGGAACAGAGTCCACGCTCAGGATGTCCATGCTTTTGTAAGCAACTGATCTTTTTTACAATACGAACTTCAAGTAATGACCCTACACATCGTTTTTGTCGCACTTGGTGGCACCCTATGGTGTAAGAGCCTGCTACGGAACCTCGGAGTAGTGAGTAGTCTTGAGGCCCACGAAAAGCAAATCACGGACCTCCTGCACGAGAGGGACATCCTCGGCAAGGCATGGGGCCGGAGTTCCGAGAGCCGATGGACCAGTGTTTTGCGCCTAGTTGGCCCCAGCCGTTAGATGGACTGCAAGCTGCCCGAAAGAATCCGGGATCCCACGTCTCTGAGTCCCACGCAAAAGCTGGCTGCAGAACCTCGAAGGATTCCTGAAACCCTGAACTTCTTAAGCCCCAGACCCCGAACCCTTAAACCCAGCAAGAGCCTCAGGCGCTGATGAGGGGGGACGAGCGCTCCAAACAGCAAGCGGAGCTTGTCGAGCTCCATAAGGGCCAGGCCATCACCCTCTCCAAGGACTTCTGGGAGACTTGAACGTATGGACTACTGCTACTACTACTACTGCTCCTGCTACCAC